TAAATATTTTACTTTGAGTTAATATTAAGGAAATGAAACATGTTTTAGTCTTGTTTAGTTGACCCATTGTTGTGTTTGTAACAAATTGGCATAATTTTCACTGTTGACTTTAACATACCACTAAAGGTAAACACAGTAAATATCCCAAAGTCAAGATTTAAAATCCACATGTCCATAGTTAATGATTAACTGGAAAAGTCTGCCCTCTGTCCAATGTTTTTTCTCAGTTTTTATATGTTTGAATAATTAAGGTGGTACTAGAAAACATTTTTTTGTAAGAATAAGTATCTGAAGGTGAACTTAAATATGTTCATGAATATAGCCATTTAAGACACTCACAGGTGATTTCCCTCCACCTAATTTTACTTGAAAGCACCAAGGTAAAATAATTTGCCAAAGTCAGGCCTCTAAACATAGGCCCCCTTTTGTGTTCCTAATTCAGTCTTTCCATTGTGCTCAGTACCTCTTGCAATTCCAAGACAGGTGCCAAAATTTCTTTAACGTTTGTACATAATATTCAGTGAAGAATGTAATCCAACCACATGAACAAGTATTGCCTAAGGTGTATAATAAAGTTTTCTTAGGGAAATGAATAAGTTATATATATTCATCTAAAGCATTTGATTAAAGAAATATTTTTGAATAGGAAGTCCTACAGTATTATAGATACCCAAAGTGTTAATATTTGGGGAGCACAGTTTCAACCAGTTCTAAATCCATTTCATTCATTCTGTAAGTATGTATTGAGTGTTTATGAAGTACAAGGCCCAAGAAGTACAGCGATGACTATGACCCTGTAGACCATTAGACTCAACCTTTTTAGTGTCCTGTACCCTTTTGTCAATCTAGTAAAGTCTATAGTTCACTTTTCAAAAGAAATTTTGAATGCCTAAAGTTCAGTATATTGGATTACAAAAAGATCCAATAATATTGAAATACCGAAACATTAAAATTTTTTGATATAGAAATACATGGTTTGTTAACTCAGTTAAGAGCTAGTGTTGGCTCTACTGTAATTTCAGTAGTGGTGAACAAATATTTCAAGTTTTCTGCAACAATCATGAAAACAGTTCAACCGTGAGTCACATTTACTGTTAATAGTACTGTGATCTCTTACCTACATTTAAATTTTATTAGAAGTTATTGACAATAGAGATGTGATTTTTCTGCATCCAAGTTCATGGACCCCCTGAGTTCTATCTGTGAACCCCTAATTAAGAACTCTGGTTAAATTTTTTAATGGCAGGAACTTTATTTTTTTTATTCTTGTATCTAAGTAAGGTCTGATTAAGATCTTCAAAGATCAAAGCACTAAGAAACTTGTGATACCTCATATAATTCAAAATCAAATTATACTATAAAGTGATTTTAAGGAATTTCTCATGATGGAGACTCATACTTTTAGAAAGTACTAAATTATCTTCATTTGTTTCATTAGGGGCAGGCAGGGGAAGCGGCTGCTTTACTGTTGTCTAAAAGTGTGTGTTTAGTATCCAAGCTTGTCTATATCCACTACACTTGTTACATAGTGTAAGGGCTCAGTAACAGTAGAATGAATGAAACTTTCCTGTAAAGGGATCACTATTTTGAGAACATTAAATTCAATGCCCAACATGAAAAAAGGAACAGTAGGGACTAAATATTTGCTGTATAAATGAATAGATTGGAGGGGTTGTTTGTAACTCAAAGTATCTCTTGTAGATAGAATTTAAAAGTAAGGTTAACATACTCAAGTGTACCCAACTGGTGTGTAAGTTCCATGAGAAAAGGATTTCTTTTTGGTCTGTTTTAATTGTATCTGATGTAATCCATAATCCTAGGAAAGTGCCTGGCACACTCAACTAAGTTGTTTATCCTTACCTGATTAGCCTAAAATCTGTATTACCTCTATTTCTCTAGACACTGCTCAAACATTTCAGCATTGACCTACCTCCAACTGGAAAGTAAAAAAACCTCTTCCGTAGACGTTCAATAAGTGAGGGAAGAGATTTTCTCACAGAAAGCTAATAAGTACTGCCATGAGTATATTTTTAGCTACCATTTTCATTTAACAGTACTTGGAGTAGGAATTACCTTAATGCATAAATCTGCTCAAGGTCACCCATTAACAAGTAGAAGAATTAAGAATGGAATCCAGGTTCGTTTGACTTTTAAAATTTACACAAGAACTGCTACTAGTATCTTAGGGGAAACAAGAGGAAGTAAATGTCCTAGACCTATGTTTGTCCCATTTGGCCAAAACTAAAAGCAGGGTCTTTTCCCCACATTTCCCAGAGGTAAAACAACCATATGAAACTAAGATGGTATGGTGAAACAAAAGTTCCGTAACTAAAGCACATTTTTTAAAAACTTATTTGAAAATACATATTTTTAAAACTTTAAAGCTGAAATTTATGCTGCAATTTTCTCTGTTGTCTTCACAATGTAGTTGGTATCTTTTCTGCCCTCCAGGAAAGACATTTCAAGGTTTCTAGGGTTTGTGTTATAATTTACAGCTACAAGGATTTTTAATGCCCTTTTCCTACTCTTCCATCTTCCATCAATACCAGTGGGTATATTTTCACATAGCTCGTTTAGAAGGCAGTAAAACAGTTTAGACAAAAACATCGTTGTTTGAACTAAAAATGTTAAAGTGAATAGTGATTTTCAAGTTCTTTTGATCTACATGGGGAGTCCTAGACTAATATCTCTAAATTAGAGCATGATAGAGGTACAGATTATTTCAGTTCTGACTTAGAAGCACTCATGTTGGTCAACTCATAAAGAAGTTAAATAGAACTTCATTTTACAGATGAGGGAATCGGGTAGCTGGGAAGTAACCTGTCCTGA